GTAGGTTCAGAGCCTCTGTTGATGATTTTTAAGTTTGTTGAGAAAAGGTAGCTAGAAAAGTCCTCACCTCTGGTATTGGTGTCGTGGCTGCCCCAAAGTGTGTGATGTGCGTTGGAGTCAGCGGCGATGATCAGCTCCAGTCCCTCTTGCTCGCAGTGTGTCACCAGCCTTTCGAACTCCGGCAAGGGTATTTCAGCGTCGCCCGGACAGTAGGCAGACGCTAAAATCACCTCGGGTAGGCTAGGTGTATCACTGAGGAGCCTGATTGCAGTCAGGTCCCTGGAACAGAACTCGGTGATTAAAACGGTTTTCACATGCTTGGGAACAAAGATGCATGTTCGTGGTTTACTTACGGTAGTATCAAGGAGTAATTTGCCTCCAATGTTGGATAGACCACAGATCCTCTCACCCCTGATCCACGGCTCCTGGATGAGGGCTATGGTCTTGGTGTTTGTCTCCAACACTCGCCGAAGATTTGCCGTGGCTGTCTGGCTGTGTTGGAGATTGGATTGTAGGATGTTAAAGAGAGGGGCTGGGTTTTTGGTCGTCATTTTGACTGACCAAGCTGCCCGCTCTCGCTTCCTCTTCATTCGCCTTTTCACCCTCTAGCCACCAGTCCATACGGTCAGCATCCTCCTCTTCCATGCTGGATTGTCGGGCCGGTGACGAGTTGTAGGCCGATGTTGTTGGTGCCGAAGCCGGTGGTTTATTGGCCATACCCACGCCCAGTCCTACGTCGGTCTTCCTCGGTGGGTTAGGTGTGGTGGCCGGTGGTAGTTTTGCCGTGGAAGGTCGATCTGATGGTCGATCGACTGCCCCCGACGAGAAGCGGACATAGATCGACCCGAGCTTGTAAGCTACGCGTCGATCCCTCGCGAGAAGTTTGGGCACATCATCCTGGGGGATACCCACCAGGATAAATAGCTCTTCCCTCTCTTCCATCTTCACTGCGTGGTACAGGGCCCATTGGTTGATATTGTACCACGGATTCTGGGCGGCCAGCCTCAACCTCAGTTGGTCGAGGTTTTCGCCCTTGTACCGTGGCACAATGATGGAGGCCTTCACCCTCTTCGGAATCTCGGCTTGACGTTTAACTGTCAAAACGGTTCCTGAGATGGGAGACCTGATGGTCTTGATGGTTTGGCGCAGCCATTCTAGCGAATAGTCGTCCTCGCACCAGAGTTTGAGGACGCCCTCCGACCAGAAAGCTTTGCCGCAAAATGCTGGTGAACGGGATGACATCGTGGACGGTTTGTAAATTTGCTCATCCAGAGCACCCTCGATGTCCTCCTCGATTTTAGAGGCCTGTGCTTCGGTTAGGTCCTGAAAGGGTTCCGCCATTACCGCGACGCAGAGGTCATTGACCTTCAATGCGTCCGCGTAATTTACTGCTGAACTCTTCGGACCAGTCCGAGGCCTCTTGGTGTCCCCTCTAGGCGATATGGTGTCATCAGGACGTCCTCTCTTCGACGGTATCGATTGGGACTTTTTGGGCCGGTTGTTCCTGGCTTGTCCTGACCGTTTGCCGCGTGGTCGCAACAAATCGCTGCGATCTTGCTCGTCCGGATTCTGGGGTGCTTTTTCAGCGGGTTTCTCGTTGGTTGGCCGGCTTACGCCAGCCGCACCGACGGTCTCCTCGCCTACACGGGCAGCGTGAGCCGTAGTGGACTCTTCAGCAGCCTCTGGCTGCTTACTCCCTCCAGTCTCCTGTGCGCGCTTCTGCCTCGCAATAAAGCGCGCTTTCGCGCGGCGTATATTACGGAGTACCTTGGCCGGCGTTGCGCCAGCCAATGACTTCTTCGGCGATGGCAGCGGTTTGTTGGTGTGTTTCACGGCTGGTTTGTCAGTGACCTTCCTGCTCCGGACCTCCATGCTCCAAGACGCAGTCCCTTTCGGGGTGACATCCGGGATTGCGGCACCGATAGCAGAAAGGTCCATGACCTTCCGCGCCGTGACGGTGTTAGTGTTCGGCGCATCCGAAGACGCAGCCGCGTGTGTACTTGTGTGTGTAGCCTGCGCTTCCGAGGATGCAGCGGGCTTTGGCGCATCTGAGGACGCAGCCGTAAGTGGGTGTTTAGCCTGCGCGTCCGAGGATGCAGCGGGCTTGGTAGTGTTGGTAACAGGATTAAGATTTATATGTTCCATGTGTGTTCGTGTGGTGTTTCATTCCCAGCGGCTTTCCACCCTCCTTGGAGCCCGCAAAGTGGGGACGCTGCACATCTTAGTGTGTACATGCGCCAGAAATACCCCGGGAATATAGGACTCCAGCCCCGTGGGTTTACGTCCGGTAACCAGTTTTAGATTGCCACGCTTTCGCATGGGTCCGCAACCGGGCCAAACGCTCCCGCCGGTTCAGAGTCCTCGCCAGACTTTGATGTTGTTAAGTCGAGCCGATTGACCCCAGTTGGCTACTCTGAGGCCTCCCGTTTAGGCTGAAATTAGGGCCAAAGAGGCGTGTTGCTGTGGTGGTTACCAACAGCTCAACCTCCAGGATCCCTTCATCCCTCCGCACGGGTCTCCACGCACGGCAAACACGCGGGTGGTCATTTCAACCTGCCATCCTGGTTTTTTTGGATGACTGGCCCATGTCGGCGTGACCACATCGTCGATTATGGCGGATTACGAAAGGGAAGATTGGAAGTGGGATAGGTGAGGAATTCTACGGGGAAATGCGTCAGGTAGTTTCGGTTGCACTCTTCATCAAAAGGATGAACAATGCGTAACAGGTGGCAACCGCGGGAAGGAGAACATACCTGGCTTGCCTTAGGGATCTTCACGACTGTAGCGCTCTCCCCTAAAGCCATATGCCTAATCACACATCGGACAGGTGTGTGAAAAAGGGGCACTCTTAGACCAACCCTGCTTAAAGGAAACTTTACTGGTGCTAAGCTCACCCCCACCCTTTAATCTTTGCAATACGCATGCACTTATGCACAAGCAACGATAATGATAACAATAACAACAACAATTCGATGACAAGCATGACAGTGACACTTATAGTTTTTTACGTTAGGATTGGCGCCATACTCTTTTTGTATTGTGGAGATTATTTATTGTGGTTTCAGTATTATATTGAAAAATAATGTTTCCCGATATTTTTGATAGATAATTAAATACAGTTTAAGCGTAAAGCTATGCAAAACGTACGAACAACATATATAAAGTTGATTTCATCACTAAAATCACTTAAAATAAATGGCTCAAAAGCCATGAAGCCAAGCCACAATAAATAAATAGTCAATTGTGTTTCCTTTTTTTAAGTGTTTAATTCCAGACCAAGGGTACGGCCAGAGTGCACTCAGATTCAGATTCAGATTCTGAAAACAAGCGCGAGAAATAAACAGTGTAGTCTAAGCAGGTTGCCTGCTTTTTCTTTTCTGAGTCTGAATCTGAATCAGGAGTGCACTCTGGCCGTACCCTTCGACTACACTGTTTATTTCTCGCGCTTGTTTTCGAAATCTGAATATGATTGCACTCTGGCCGTACCCTAAGACAACCCTCCTCAATTGTTTAATAAATCTTTCGAGATTATTTTATTAACATTTCTGATAATAACATCTATAGACGCTAAAGATTTACTTCAACAAATATTTCGCCATTGTCCTGTATATAAAAATGAAATGTCATATAATTGAAAAGTATTATTATGAAAGTTTCAGAATAGGGATAATATAGATTTGATAGTAATAAATACACATTTAAACTTGTGAACACTTGTTATTTAAAAATTATTGAGGGCATGGGTTGGGTGGGCTAATTTTTCCATTGCGCCAATATTTGCTAATATAGGTACATATTGTTATCTCTATCAAACGATAGCAAGAGTTGCAATGCAAGCCACACCCTATATTTTTTCTGTTAACGTTTGTCAAGACACCTGCCGTCTACATCCGTAATTTTATTATTGTTTTCTACACTGTAACATGAGTAATGACTAGCCTCTGCAGTTTGGTAGTCTTCCACTTATAGGCGATATCATAACATAATTTATGCCCATCTTGATATTATTATGAATTCAATATGAATATCGTAATGAAATAGTTACAATTATTTCCACCAAAAAGATACAGACAGCAAAAATGTCACGACTTTCGATTATTACTGATTATTTATTGTATGACTAGAATTTATATTTTAAATATCCTGGAAAAAGTGTTGGTATTTTAGTATTATATACGGCTATTTAATTCTCTAATATGTGTGCCTTCTTTCTGCTACTGTGTCCAAATCTTAAAGGAAAAGGCAGTATTCTCATCTGATTATTAAATAATAATAAATTAATGAAACAAACATTTAAATACGGTTATGGGTTAATGTTAATGTTGCCTTTAAATACAATCTAAACGTAAGTTAAATTTTAACTAATTAATTTAAAAAAAAATGTCCGTTATTAAAACTCGTGTCATTGTGTGTACAATTTGTACATCCATCTAGTCTAGTTTGCATAACGCGAGCGCAGTTGTAACTGTTTATGTTTTGCTAAAACTATGAACTGCTTACTCTTTAATGTTTAAAATGTATAATAATGACCCCTAGACAAACAACAATGTACTCGGTATATTCTTTAATTTTAAAGTGTTATTCACTCGCAGTTGCCTTTATTTCTTGACATTTATTTTAGGGTTTACTGTGTTAATAAAATTTTACTGGTATAAAATATAATAATAAAACAAACGAGTCACAAGAATAGTAACGAATACTTATCGTAAACTATTTTTGAAGAATATTGTTCACCCTAATCGTATCATTAACATATTATAAATTATATAATATCAAAGAAATATTTAGTTTATTATCGATACTAGCTATTTCTATGTCAACGATACACACATCATATACGTCATCTGAAGTTCAGACTGGAGTAACAATCACATCATGAAAAATTTTACGACAGTAGAAGTACATTTTCTCTTTCACGCATATGTTATAAAGGCTGTACAAATATTTGCCTAAATATGCTTTCAATATGAATGACATCGCTTTTTGTTTCCATTTACTAGGAGTGCTGACATATGTAAAGGATGAATTCGAAATCGGCGATGACAGTGCTGGTTTCCTCCAGACTGTGTTCGTTGTCGCGTACATGGTGTTCGCGCCTATTTTCGGCTACCTGGGCGATCGGTACTCCAGACGCATCATCATGGCGTTTGGAGTCGGCCTCTGGAGTATGACCACATTGTTTGGATCTTTCATCACCGTAAGTTATTATATTAATCATAAATACTTAACTTTTTTGAGTAGATAAAAGACCGGAAAAAGCTTATACATTCCAACATTGGATAAGTGAAATATTTGACCTTTAGTTTACTTCTTAATCACCTTTTGTGCGGAACAATGCTAATTTTGATGCAGCAATGAGTAATAATAATACAATTGAAAATGTATGATGACCAAGCATTTTCAATTGTTTTATTGTAGCTGATATGATAACAGAAACTTTTCCAAAGAATCTTAACAAAAGTACCGGTAACCTGTGTACTAAACTGATAGGTTATTAAAAATTTAACGGACCGTTTCATGTTTCTATTACATCGTATATACAATAAAAAATGCATCAGTCCTTTAAGTAAGTACCTATTTACGATAAATAACATTCTCATTATCTACACTTTAGCGACGACATGTCATATTTGGTACTAGCTGAGTTTAAATCGTTATCCGGAAGCGAAACTTATTGTGTTCCATTACTCTAAAGGTATTACCAATATTAAGTAGATGGTTTCCATACCATCGCCTACAAACAACATAAATTAAAGTTATAGGTAGACCGCTTAACTGAGTCTCACACCCTTTACCCCGCAGGCGAGGACTCAGTTAAGCGGTCTACCTATAGAAGAAAGGAGAATATTGTTATGCTTTTTTTGTTTTAAGAATTTCACATGGTTCGCGGTCTTCCGCGGGCTAGTGGGCATCGGCGAGGCGTCGTACTCCACCATAGCTCCCACCATCATCAGCGACCTGTTCGTCGGTAATGTTCGCTCCAAGATGCTGGCCATCTTCTACTTTGCCATACCAGTCGGCAGGTAAATAGAGAATTTACTTACGAAGAATTGTGTCCTACTTTCTTTGTTTTCCACGACTAAAAGAAGTTCTGTAGGGTTGATGGGAAACAATGAGTTTTTAAAAGCGTTTAATTAATTAAAGTTCCAACTCGAAATTGAATAAGTCTTTTGAGTAATTTTAAGTTAACTGTGACTTACGTAAAAAGGTGTTGGCTGCAAAAGCTTAATAAGTTTATTGAGATCGAGAAAACAACTTTGTTATGACTTATTTGTTCCAAGGACATGAGCAGGTCGTCTTGACTTTCAGTTAATTGTTCAACAATTGAGTAAATATTTGAATTTAAAATGTGAAAATAACTTCGTATAAGTAACATAACGTTAGTGATGTCATTTCACGTATATTGGTGGTGTCTAGTAAAGGAATTTTACAAAAGAATTTTAATTCATAATATTGATTAAAAGTTTTAGAAATTCGAGTTACGCCAACGTTATCATATTAGCTATTATTGTATTGTCACTTTCTTAGAATTTAAAAACGCTTTATAATATTTTATGGAATTGTAAATATGATACTGTCATTTCCAGGTAAGGAAATATTAATTGTTTATAACATGTGGACGTTATAATCAAGGGTAATATGGATTTATAACTTTTTCTATGGCCGCCGATGCCGACACGAGAAGCTGTATATTATGCGAACAAAACTTAAATTTATAAAAAAAAACTATGGAATCCATGAAAACAACAATCGAGCCCAGCCAAGCAAGCCTATTCGAAATTAATTTTAATGTCGAACCAAAAGTCTGAAGGAAGTTTAAATTATGAGAACTGTGATCACAACAAAAAACAATGAAGCAAATAAGTCGAGCAGTTCTCACGTGATTCTCATGGACTGTTTATTTAACATGACATTTCTCCTTTTTTCTCATAAGTGAATTATCATTGCTATCGTGGAAGTTAAGCAACTTTCGCAACGGTCGGTCATTGGATGGGTGACCAAAAACTTATTATCTCGAGCTCCTCCGTACTTTGGAAGGTCGAGGTTAGCACCCACCAACGCGCACTGTGCACGCGTGCCGGGTCACAGCCCAATCTCACTATTTCATCCATAGGGAAGGCAATAAGGCATGTGCTCCAGCAGTGGGGGCATAAATAGGCTGATGATGATATTTCATTAGTTAATAACCCATACGCATGCATAACCGGGAGTTCCATGTATTGTTTTAGGTAATTTATAAAAAAAAATCGAGGAAAGATAAAGTTTTGAAATAATTAAGTAAGTACAAATAAAAAAATATTCGCTAGAAAAAACTGGGAGCTGAACAAATAAATTCTAAGGTTATTTGTAGGTGACAAAATGATTCGTTGTTATGTCATACTTACCTGTACCTATAATGTTTTGCTAGCCACTTTGTCTGCGCAAAAAGTTGCTATTTAAGTAGAAGCATACATATTATTTGTACAGACAGAACGTGGTTTTTGTTAATATTATTTGGTTCTGTTTGGATGGAACATTTTAAGTGAATATCGATAAGATGAAATGCATTAAACAATTATCTTTTAGAGTGGGTATGTACCGCGTATGTACCTTATTTATAAATATGTTCTGAGGTTTATAACTTTTAACCTTTTTTCAATACGATATGGATAATGATATATTCATTGGAGCGGTTACCAAGTAAAATGATAATCCTAGTACCTACACTCTTTTAAAATTTTAAATTTCAGAAATATAATCAAAAAATATATTAAATCCAAATTAAATGTTTTTTAAATGAGGCGGGATGTCACAAAGATTGCTTTGGTCCCAGGTGAGATGCTATAACATTTATGTTATGGATATCAAACACCATGAATTTACGAGCAACCACGCTCAAGCTAGTTATATCGACCTGGAATCGAACCGGGACTTAAGAAACCCAAAGAATACGCAACTCCAACCAGGGGCAAGGGTGCTCAATTAATTAGGACTATTTCTATAACTACGCGGATTGGAGTACGAATTCTGTCCGGATGCGGAGCAGCCCATCTTACAGTGCTTTGCATTGCACCTGAAAAATAATAGTGTTGTGGGGTTAAATTCTTGTGGATGAAGCCATAGCCACATCCCAATCCTAACAAGATTGAGAACGCCGCTTTTTGCGAAACTGATACCAATACATGATAGTAGCATTTCCGGCCATTAATGTTGACACTGCTGACACTAGAATTTTGTGTTTCATCATCAACAGCCTTATAATGACCTCACTGCTTCTCTGTGTGGAGTGGAGAGAGAGACTAAAGAATAGGATGGGTCAGATATTATCATACCTCATTACCAACATCGCGGTCTCAGTGCAGATTAGTCAGTACTTATGCAGTTGCTTGATTCATCGACGACGACGACCTCCGTGGTTTAGTGGTTTGTACGCCGGGTTTCATGGTGTCGCCGACTCGAGAGGTCCCGGGTTCGAACTCGGTGGGGGCAGATGTTTGTGTGATAAATACGAGCATTTGTACCCAGTCATGGTTGTTTAATATGTATTTCTATAATAATAAACTTATATATGTACTGTATATGTATTCTACCCGTTATCCTAGTATCCCATAACACAAGCCTTACAGCGCTTACTTTGGAGCTAGGCTAATTGGTGTGAGTGTTGGTAATATTTATTTATTTATTATCTACATTGAGAAATATTGTGTCTGCCTGCATAGATATATAAAATTCACCATTCCAGCGGTATGGGGTACATCGTGGGCTCAGTGGCGGGCGGGGTAGCGGGCGACTGGCGCTGGGGGCTCCGGGTGACGCCGGTGCTTGGCGCGGTGGCGGTGGCGCTGGTGGCACTCGCAATGAAGGACCCGGAGCGGGGCGCGGCTGAAGACAGCCATATGACGGCCACATCCTACAGCGACGATCTGCGCTCGCTTGTTAAGAAGTGAGTAGCTATGGTTCTCTTGATTTTAACAGTAAGGTGGGGTCCAGTTGGGAAGATAGATGATATGATGCAATGCAACAGATACGTACCCTCCCAACGGCCAGTACCTACCATGTAACTTAACTGATATGAACTTAATGTAAATTACGAATATGATATTTTAAACTCATTATCATTGATGTGTCGTACAGATACCAAGCTAAAGAATAAATGAATTATAAAGTTTAAAAATGTAAAACATTACGTGACTATGTCATATTTTAGCTATGTTTACATAATTCACAACAGCAGCGAGCACCTTAGAATAGAAAAATGTAATTTCTTCTGTAAGATGAGGATACTTCTCTGCCACTATTATTCATGCATTATGCATATGTTAACATTCATTATATGAGTACGAAATGTGTATAGATTTCCTTATTTCTTGATCTGACTCAAAGTCGATCTTTGCCGAAAAGAAACGGAAAATAACACAGTTGGAGCTGGTCATTCTCTATTCTAAATGATCCTAAAAAACCAAACCACCTACCGAAATGTTCAATCGCAGTCTAAATTTGTTATCAAGCTAATTGTAATCTAATATATTTAGCATGGCAGGCGATAGTATAAAATAGGCCATGACACCTCATCGCATGATTCAGTTAGACTATGAGGTCACGCCAATCTGATGTTTACAGTATATTTGAATCGAGATATAAGAGACTTGGGGGTTGTCTACATATTACGTTTATTGATTTATATAAAATACATGTTGTTTTTGATATTCAAAGACATTTTGTTTAACACACACTGACCAATACGGCCCTTGGTATTCTGAATGACAAACGGACGTACAGCGGATGCTTATTAATTAATCCCTATTAGTAAACTTACAGTCTTCTTTACAATCCTTGAGTAAGAAACGTTAGGCTTCAAGTTACAAAATCAACGTGACGTTCATTTATCAACATAGTTACTTGGTATCGGCCCACAATGATGCTGTTTATTAGGTATATTCCTCTTTATAACTTACTGCACTACATGCTTCGATCATTGTTCATCGAAGATTACATGCAGTGTTGCCAGGTCCGATTTTAAAAGATCCGGATGCGTTATAGAAAAACGCAGTAAATGTATTGATAGAGCTGCAAGAAAAAACAGTAAATGCAGAGGCGATTTCTTCCGACTTCCACGCCTCTCCCCTTCCCCTCAAAATAATATATATCAAAATATAGGCCAGTAAAGAATGCGTTTCTATGGCTTCTGCCGCCAACAAAGCTCATTTTTTTGTTACAAAAACATATTTATTGTATTAGGTTTAAGGTTATTTACATTGTTAATGGCGGAAAACGCAACTCAAAACGAAATTTAAAGTAGAAAATCGTATTCTAAGAAAAACAGAAGAACAGGAGACATTTCATAAAAAAACAGGAGATCGCCTGTAAAATCGGGAGACCTGGCAACACTGACTACATGCGATGTGATGCTTTGGCGACAGCATAAACATATCTACGTAACAATTATGCTGAATTTTGTTCCGTGTATTATTAGCGAAATGAAGTGAAACAAGACGAGTGAAGATTCCAATAAATAACGAAAATCAATCGCATTCCGCTCTTTAATAGAAATCTCTGAAACAGAACAGTCTATTTTCATTAGTTTTGATTGATCTCAGTTGGCTGTAAATTGACTTACTTATTAGTGTTTTCATTTGGTAATATCTATCTACGTAACATAACGTTTTTTTTTACAGTGGATGAGGATTTTTGTATGACAGTTTAAAATCATTAGGTGCCGCCATCAAACTATATAATCGTCAACTCTTTTCAAATAAGTTTGTGAATCTACATAATGCATGTACTTGATAATTCAAATATAAGGCTTTGCTTTTGCTCCTCTGTGAAACTAAGAGATCCATGAAATGTTATAAAATGAAATTTGAAAGCGATTAAAAGCATAAACAACCGGTGGCAAAATTAGGGCTCATACGAACAAATGATGTAGCAAAATTTATATAAAACGCTAAAAAAATTAACTCGCGACGTTTTTGAAATCTGCAATGCAAATCGTTATGCAATTATTTTCGGAGCGATATGTTTCATGCGCGGCCGCTTGCCAGACATTTTCGACACTGGCGTCTGGCATTGCCCGGGCTATCGATATTTACTACAAAAATGTAAACACTAATCTTGAAATTAATAAAAAAAGTATACATAAAGTACTGTTTTTTCATTACATTTCAGTGTAATGACATTTGCAATATGATGTAATACGTAAATTACTAAGGCCCATAAAGTCGTGCTCGTACTATAAATAAGTTGTGGTTTTTAGATTCGATGTGGGAAATCCTATCTCACACTTTCATTAGGGAATGTTCATAAAAAAAATATGCAGATGAAAGTAGTCATCCAGTTTCTTCACAAATATACTTCCTTATTAGTAAATATGGGCCTCAAATCATGACATTTAAACGTCTATATGGAATCAAATCTGTAAAATTCTAAAGCTTTAAATATTTCGAGCTGAAGGTAATAGGTACTACAATTTCGTTGTGAACTGGAAAGCCCCCCAGAATTCCAAATAAAATAATAAGCTAGCAAATACAGGCTTGAGCACAGATTTTAATCTACAATGTTCTTATGAAAAGCAAGGGCGCAGCGGTATTCCCACATACCTTGATCTCATTACGGTCTGCGGGAAGTTTAGTTTGAATGAGAACGCCCGGAAAAGTTAGGCTATTCCTAAATAAATGCAATGTTGTGTTACGGTTGGGAATTATGTTGCTAGAGCTCCATATGGGGCTGGCAAAGTAAGGGTTATTGTATCCTATCGTTATACCCTGTCCCAGGAGGTGCAATTAGCCACAAGCGGTCTTACTACCTAAAAGTTAGACTCTGTTTCAAACCTAGTTTAGGCAAATTTTGTATGTCATTTCTTCTTAAACTCGTTTTGAACGCATGCTTAAGTTTTTTGTGGTAATAAGGATAATCTTTTATTTTACTGATGACGGAACCCACGCGGTCTACAAATGATATACATCTTGAACCAGTCTTGTAGATAGAATTTGTTTATTAACCTAGGAAAATAACGGAGGAGGTTCTCAAGGCGACGCGTATACATATTTGTTTTTTTTATGTGTGATAACGCATATTTTTTTACAGAGTACACTGATTTAGATCATTCTTACTTTATTGGAAAGGGTATACCCCGAAGTTCGTTCCATATGAATTTGAAAAAAAAAAACCTGTTTTTACGTTTTCATACCTTTACAGTAAGGTATGAAAAACAGGGGCTGATTGATTGTTCACTCGCAGATTTTGATGCAGAGTTGTATATTACAAAAATTATAGCCACAAAAATTGGAAAATAAAACCTTTTTAACAAAAAAATTACACCGTTGAAAAGTAAAAAATAATAAACCTTTTTATCTTTAGTGTAATTATTATTTGGAGTTGGTGCCATGCCATGCAGGTTTGATAGATCTGATAGTTCCCATTTACTACTTGGGTTAGCCTGGCACTGGCACCGTCTCCAAATATTAATTTAACTAATGATAAAAAAGGTGTATTATTTTTTTATTATGGGCAGTTTTTTTAAGTTTTTATTTTGTCAAGTGGATTCAAAACCATTAATAGTCACTTCTAGCTTTGCATTGGTATTATAAACTTATAGGTTTTTGCCTGCCTCAATTGGCCACCTCTGCCTTATCCTATACGTATCGCTACTCTACTGCTCTATTTTCTTGATTGGACTCCACTCACATTTGACATCAGGTAGGGTGGAACAATTTGCCGCGGAAATTTAGCACCACCTATTTTGTCTTTTATGATTATAGTAGCACTATTAGATCTTTGTTTTTTCTTTTAATCTTGTTTGGAATCTGTTTAAACCCAAACACACTAGATAATGATCGATTTCTTGTATATAAAATTGTCTTTTTATGTCCTTTTCAGTCCGTCGTTCATGCTGTGCACTATTGCGTTCACGTGCGTTACTTTCGTAACGGGCGCGCTGGCTTGGTGGGGACCGCAGTTCATATTCCTCGGCCTCAACTTGCAAGAAGGCATGGATATGTCACTGGAGAGGTGAGCTTTATGAACTTTAATCAACACACAAGTAGTTACCGGGGGCAAATCGTTAGTGTTAGAACGCGCAGCGGTGCATTCTATTTTGCCACTTGTTTCCTAGAGATTAGTGTTCCTTATCGTTTAGTTTACTTTCTATTACTGCAGTGTGTAAAAGGCACTTGTACAACGATATTCAATACCCTAGACTAACGCGAACAAAATCGTGCTCGAAACCTGTCCAAAAGGTACATCGGACGATCCACGGAGCTCCGTAAGATGATCGCGTTGTCAAAGACAATATAAGGCATTATTTAAACATTGCTTACCTTTAATGCATACTGTATAAGGTCTTAGTTAAAACGCATGCATCAAATAGTAATGACAGTTCGAAATGCAAGCTCGTTAAATTTTACGACTTATTGCTATATGCGGAAGAATATGGACCTTATTTATTTGACTCTAAGCGCAATTCTGAATGCGCTGTTAGCAGTATAGCAGGTACGGACCGCGACGAAAAGAGACGGCTATATAACCGACCATGTATTTGAAAATCACAAATATTTTCTATTAAATCAGTTTATAGTAAGTATTAGAATTTAAGTAAAAAATTTGCTTCAAATGCGTTAAATTAACCAACATTGATTTGATACCCGTCGAAAAAACGATACTTTACATACTACAAGTATTTTTTTCGCATCATTTCACGGAGCTCTGCGGCATGTTGACTCTTCAACAGGCTGAGCTTGACTCTGAACCAAGAAGTTAAGTGTTTGAGTGCAGTTAAAGCACTTCTTGATTGGGAGACATTTTGAGCGGACGTGGTGTATCTAGGTTATATGATATAGTTGCTCTGGTATAAACTATTAATGGATTTGTTAATATGAATGGAAAAAAAAAATACACCGTTGTACGTTCTTATATAGAAATCTATCGGTAGTAAAATCGAATAAGATTCGTTCTTTCGGAAATATGAAGACCCCATTATTAGGTAATGCTGTCGAAGTAGTGTTATGTTTACTAGTACTAACCCGAAATAAGAAGTACCCATTTAACCGGTTACTTGCGTTGAAATAATATTTGCCTGTTTTCCTTATGAAGATTTAATTTTAAAATTACCTGAGTAGTAGCGAGGCGAGTTTTGTACAAAATTCTAAAGTTCACTGCAAAAATGAATTTAGTATTCCGCAGCTCGTGTCTTTTTTACTGTTGGCGTCTTTTTAAATAAACAAGCAATATTATTTAAAATCTTGTTTGAGAAAAATGTACTTTTGAATATTTTAATACGTAGATAAAGCAAAATTAGGCATTCTCTAAGTATGCATGCACAAAAGTTTTGTTTAAATTACTATGCAAAGTAATATTCAATGACTATAATAATTATGTAAATTAATACGTTTGTCCCTTAGCTCTACAGTTTAAATATTGCATTTACACAAAGTAGTTTATAAGTTACAAATCTAAATAGAACAATATTCATTGTTATGAAAACAAATACCTATCTAGTTTCAAGCCAATAGGAAAGGAGTACCAAAATATAAATGAGAAAATGTAAAACTATCATGATTTGAGGCCACATTTAAGACCTGAATACTTTGCAGGACTATAAAATATAGCGGGCAAATCTTCGACAATTCATTAAATTGTTTATATTAAGTACTAGCAGTAGTTATAATCTATAAAGTCTTATACTAAGTTATCATTAAATCTTATATAGACGTTTGCGACACCAGGAGTAAACACTACAGAATATTTGTCGAGAAACAGATATGTTACTAAGTAAAAAGTGATCACCTCACTTTAAGGAGTAGGCGGCACCTACGCTACATTTGGCTAACTTTGAACACTTATTAGATTTTCGTAATTTTTCGATAATTTCGCATTGATATTTCGTAATGTTTCACGTTGATACCGAAGTAGGTCTTTAAAGAATTTCGCAAATAATGAGTTGGATAAAATGTTTTATTGAGGTAGTTAACCTTTTAATAAATTAAAAAAGATAATCAATAGTTTAAGTTAGTTGACAACGGATCCTGAAAATTATTTCGTATTTGTAACATCCAGAAATCAGTAATAATAACCAGTTAAAAAGGGTCACTGAAAAGATCCGTAGACAAAATTATGAATGATTATGATCATCTTAAAATAGGTTTCATCCAATATTATAAGGTTATAATAAACTCATTATTATACAAGGATTAAGCTTAGACTAGTTACGCCGTGTTTTGTCCATATCACTCAATTTCAATGAACAGAAACAAAACACGGAGTAAGTTATTCAATCTTATTCTTTGTTCATTAATTGGGCCTTTGTTTGCGTGAGTTTTTTAATAATCTAATATATAAAATTCTCATGTCACGGTGTGCGTAATTGAACTACTCCGAAAGGGCTCGACCGATTTTCGTGAAATTTTATATGCATATTCAGTAGGTCTGAGAATCGGACAACATCTATTTTTCATCCCCCTAAATATTAAATCACACTTAATTTTTTTTTGACAAAAATTTTTGTTTTTATTTTTTTATGATACATCATACAAAAATACATACAACCCTAAAATTTTAACCCTTCTACCATCAACCCCTATTTTTATGACGGTACGAAGTTCGCTGGGACAGCTAGTATAATAAATGGAAATGTAATGTCCGGTAGTGAGAGATTATATTCAGTACCAACTTTTCTAGCGCGTTGTGATTGGAAAGTTCAAAGTTAGCCAATGTTCGTGTTCGGGCCAAGCAATCAGCTACATGGTTGGGAGTGTTGGTTGGTGCAGCGTTGCGTACAAGTTCGGGCTGGTGTGTATGTTCGCGGGCGCGCTGGGCGTGCCGCTGGGCCCCGCGCTGGCTCAACGCGCGCGCGCCTCACTGCCCGACTGCGACCCCGTGCTCTGCGGCCTCGCGCTGCTGGCCTCCGCGCCTCTCGTCTACCTCGCGCTGATCGCCGTCTCCAAGCACGCGGCACTCACCTTCCTACTCATGTTCCTCGGGATGGTCGTACTCAACCTCACGTGGTCGATCGTCGCCGACATAGTGCTGGTGAGCGATTTCTGACGCCCTGCACTGGTTGATGCTCGCACCGAATCTCAAGTGGTTTAACCCCACGACAACGGCTAACTAGAGCAGAGGTTCGAGTCTCAGAGACGCCCTCTATTTGAGCCGACCCCCTCAGGTTCGGGTGGTCTAGAGGCTCCAGACAGAGAGTGACTCCCCCCGTGGGGAAATGGCATCCGCCTGGAATACCTCTGGAGGCACTCGCTAATTCTCGACTTGAGGTCCCCTTAGGATCTCGCCGTCCCCAAACCCGGTGATGCCGAAAAGGTCTTCTGCGACCAACAGCATACACACTAAAAAAAAAGTGGTTTAATACGCGCTCTATTCTCGCGAGCGCCTTACACTCCGCTAATCGATAATTCCAAGCACACGGCGCTCACCTTCCTCGGAATGGGCGTACTCAACCTCACTTGGTCCATCGTCGCTTATTTTGTGCTGGTGGTGAATTTCTGACGCGAAACGTTAATGCTTGGTTCCATTCTCGAATGGTTTTATTTCGAGGCCTACTGATTCCTAAGTTTATTCATTTCATGCGTGCTCGCGGAACTAGCGAGTTCGTAAAATTACAGACCTTTTATACTATATCTAAAATAATCGAAATATGTCTCGAATTATTCTTCATTCCTTTCGATTGTGGGTCGTCACAAATGTTATAATCTCACATTGATATTTGTTCCAAGCGTGCTCGCGGAACTGGCGAATTAATCAAATAACAGACCCTTCATACCTATATCGAAAATAATCGAAATATGTCGCTAATTATTCTTTGTTCCTTTCGATTGTGGATTGTCTCTAGTATATACATCAATATACAAGACGTATAATTTTATTAGACTGTAAAATGTGTGGACTATAAACCTGCTTTGTCACTATGACTTCGGAGCGATTGTGTTCGATTATATGAATAAGTAAATTTGGCAGGTATCTGAACACTTTATTTCACCCATTTCTATTCTATTTTTCATACCCATTCCTATTCGATTCTATTTATTGCATAATAAACCAATTTAATCGGCATAATTAGAATCGAACCGGATTGTGTACGTAGGGTTTCTTTTTACATTCAAAATGCCAAAATAATGGTCGCGTGTTAATAATTTATTACTATTTTGAGCATTCGGTGCGAGCAGGTGCAAATGTAGCAGAAACCGCCCATCGGCTCGAGTTGTAACAAAAATATATACATAATATTCCAATGAGAATACATTTATTGCATAAAACACAATCATGTCACCTTTTTAATTCATAATCATAAAGCTAAATGGCTCATCGTGCTTTCATATAGAGAATGCCGCTTATGTATGTATAACGTATGAATAAAAATATTACGCTGTTATGATAAATATAAACTGAAAATTTGGTTATAAATAGTAATAATTTTAAATAATATTTTTGGATCAAATTTGCAGTTTGTAAATATGTACTTTTTAGGTTTACTTAACATGTTATCATAGCATATCGCATGATAAATTCAAAGCCAAGTTATTACTTATATAGTATCGAATGCGACGCAATGATATCTATGCATGTCCTGATGTCAATACATTGAACTCGGTCATTAATTCAAACTTCATAAACGACATCTAAATAATGCATTTTATGATAGTGAACATTTTATTTTATCCTGTGATATTGTTAAAGATCTGTTTTCTCTTTGTTGCATAACAATATCCGGAGCTCAGTTATTTAACGCGTGAGCTTTATATCTTTCTGTATATCGTATAAATATTTAGAATCTATTCTATAGGATTTTCCTATATGCATCGTGACACGGGTTACATGTACGGTTTATGAAATAACTTCGTGCGATTCTTTCTTAACAATAATCTAGAAACCGCGACTGCCATTTGTTTCTTATCTTGAGTTTAAGTTTAGAAAAATGATGTCAAGGTTGTTGACACTCGACTTTTAAAAACAGAAAAACGCATTAGAGCCGCGACTGTCGTTTGTTTCGATGCTGAGTTCAAAAACGGTGGCATCACGGGGAAAAGTCAAAGGTCATTGACGCTTGACGTTTTTAAAAAACGAATACGTAATGTTGCCACGAAGGGTGTCGCTAATCTTCGGCGGGCTGACGATGGCGTCGGGTCTGTTGGGCGTGCCACTGGGCTCGTGGCTAGGCGCTGGCTTGGTGAAGCACTACCCACGAGCGCATCCCATCATCTGCGGCGCGGGCCTGCTGCTCTCCGCGCCCGCCATGACCATCGCCGTAGCGATCGCCGACCAGTCCTACTACGCACAGTTCATCTTCATGTTGCTTGCCGAAGTCACACTGAATCTCAACTGGGCAATAGTGGCCGATATGTCGCTGGTAAGACGGACAAGTGGTGGTTGACCTCATTAGTTTGCTTCTCTTTGGTTAGATTGCAAGTTGTGGTGCATGGTAGTAGTTAGCATGATATTGGTTTTCTTTCATCTCCCTGCTTGCTACGGTTGCTCACGCAATGCATGATTACGTTCCTGTATGCGATAAGTAGAAATTTTATTAAAGAATATTTAGACAAAATTAAAAAAAAACGAGCGTGCGTTACAGTAGTCGCGTATAATGTGTAACATTTGAAACCTCACCTTATATTAGTAAAAAAAGAAATAAAACCTACTTCGAAAGGAATGAGCCATTTGAACATTATGTTCTAATCAAATCGCGCGCTTTCGCGACTTCCTGTTACACACTTCCGTCCCATTTCACGAAAACACTCCCACAAAATGCAGGAAAGCGAGAGGAAAGATGTTACACATCAAAAATCTTATGAAACCACTAATCTGAATACATTTGTTGCGTACAGAGTAGATGTTTATTTAGGTTGCTTGTTTAGCACGAGTTGAAGCAGTCTCTCATCCATACATATTCATGGCTCACTATTGCCTGGTTTTGATAATATCACCAAACTCTTAAATTTGTGGTTCTCATTGGAATATTCAGTTGTAATTTATTTTTATTATTCTTCTCGAGTCGTATGGGCTGACTTCAATTTCTTGTGAACAGCGACATCTATCAGAATCTGTTCCAACTACGTATTTGCATGCACAATCTAACAACTTTGTGGTATTGAAAAGCATCTGCAGAGGGCGCTGCAAATTTTGCTTTTGTTATTTATTCGAAATCTTTAATTAACTCAGTATTTTGTTATATATAGTATGTTCAAGCTAATTCATATTTCTTTTGCATTTAGGTAAACCTCATTAATTTTTGATTGCATAATCATTTATATTTGAGATCATAATTAAGTACGACTATAACTAGTGAACCTATACCTATTAACTAGCCAAAATATACCATTAAATAAGACTAATAAATTAGACTATACCATAATACAACCGTGCATAAGTAAAGAAAGAATGAATTGAAATTAAAACTAGTGTGTTTTTCAGTATGTGGTTATTCCACCGCGACGATCTACGGCAGAAGCGTTTTTAATCTTAATATCGCATATGTTTGGAGATGCTGGAAGTCCATATTTGGTTGGAGTGGTAAGGACTTTTAAAAAGCTAATTTTAAAATATATTTATTTCTTATGTTGTCACGCATACCAATTTTATTATTAAATAAAATGTTCAAGATTTTTTAGTTTTTTATGAGTTTTTAGAATTGCCCAATAACTTTTGTTTTAGATTTCTGAAAGCTTGAAGAAATCTTTATCATGGTCGCCTACTGAAGAACCGAGTGCAAGTGTGCAATTCAGAGCTTTGCAGTATTCCTTGTTTATCACTTGCTTTGTTGAAGTGATTGGAGGCGTATTCTTCTTGCTAACTGCTATCTACATCGTCAGAGACAAATTGAAAGTAGACAATGCAATCACTGGTATGTACCTATGGTAATATTTTCGTGTTTCCATTTTGCAATAAAATGCTTCATCTCTTCCTGTGTTATTATGACAGTTATTAGTTTTTTTTTAAATTCAGTAGCTTGTTTCATTATTGTTCTTGATTATTATTTATATTTACATTGTTTCAGTTAATTCAAAAATTCTTTAGTTTGTAGGTGAGTGCGCAGATCATAATGCTTGAAACTTTTCTTTCTGCTTATGCTGCTAACTAAATATGCTTGGCTTATTTCAATATAATTGTTAATTGAGATATATCTCGTATCTTTATAGCAGCCGTTGCTCAGAGAACGGAGCCGTCACACAGTACAGCACAAGAAGAAAACGCAAGTGAATAAACAAAATTAGAAATGTCCGAATGGGTACCTATCCTAATAACGAACACATAATATTAGAATCTAATATTTCAACGAAATAACCATAATCTTTATAGTAGCCGTTGCTCAGAGAACTGAGCCGTCACACAGTACAGCACAAGAAGAAAACGCAAGTGAATAGACAAAATTAGAAATGTCTGAATGGGTACCTATCCTAATAACGAACACACAGTATTAGAATCTAATATTTTAATTAAATAACTATAATTTTTATAGCAGCCGTTGCTCGGAGAACGGAGCCGTCATACAGTACAGCACAAGAAGAAAACGCAAGTGAATAGACAAAATTAGAAATGTCCGAATGGGTACCTATCCTAATAACAAACACACAATATTAGAATCTAATATTTCAATTAAATATCGACATACAAATTAGTTTTCTTAACCAAGGCCTTATAGAGTTGATTTATAGTTAGTTTGATTGTCACTTATAAAGGAAGACTGATTTATGGAAGACAGCATACATGCTAAGTGCGGGCTATCAAACGAATCCAAGATGATTGTGTGGAACAGTATGTAGCTTAGAATGTAAGGGTGTAGGATCTTGAGGTCTGTTCATTTCGGTATTATTATTTCACATTTTTGTAAGTATATTGCTGGAAACAAATTAATTTGCTTTTCATGTTTAAGTATCTCAAGCGATATACTTCAAAAAGCACAGTTCTGCTGTTACCTATTAGTTAAGAAGATCCCTAAGTTATTTTAGGCTTAAAAGTCCGGATATTTAAAATATGAAAAGTTCATTTCTTGTGAAATTATCAATTATTTATGGTTAATTATTAAAATTTTGTAATTTAATAATCAATTTTATTTTATGTGTTTTGATTTATCTTTAACATTATTTTGTAAAATTTAATAGCAATGGTGGCTCATTCATCATCATTGACGAATTATATGATTATAAATATTACTTCTTTTCATATAATAATTTAAAATAATATATTCATACAGTTTAACGATTCTAGTTTTTTAAGTACAAATCAGTCAGCGGTTCCTATTTAACAGTAAACAGTACATTTAAGAAATCTAATTTAAAACTTTCGTAACATCATGACAATAAAATAATATTTCAACCGATTTGCTCAAAAAATGCATTCACGGAGGTTGTATACATTGTTCGAAAGTTCAAAATTACGGGTCATTCAACAGAGCGTGCGATAAAACATTTTACCGTACGTTTGTAATAACCAACTTAGCGCTCTGATGTCATAAATAACAATTATCATGACTTATGCACATTATCCGCCTTATTACAAAACGTTGACTAAAGGTAAACCTAGTGTAAAATTTATGCTGCCCCTTTTGTTTTGCATGCAAAAAAAGAAAACAGAGAATGTATTAGGTTTAAACCAAGAATAACTTTAGTCCACGTTGGAACAAGTCAGCATAACCAAGTCATCTGTTTACATACAAATTAAAAGGGGTAGACGTCATAATATGTTGCATACCATTGTTTTGAATTTGCCTATCTTGTAATACTATAATGCAAATATTCTTCCAGTCTTTCTCGCAAAAAGAAAAGAGAAGTTTACCAAAATATTTTAAAATCATCAATCTGACAATCGTATTGATTTGCACGGAAAAGTTGTTGGTTCCATATTATTTACTGTTAAATGTTTCAGTAGATGTGTTAAACTGTATTGAATATGAGGAAAGACTGAATTAGTGTTGATCACTTAGTCTACTTTGTAGTAGTTACAAAAACACAATTGTTTATTGTAAATATTGTGTGAAAGTATCATGGAATTGAAGAAAATAATAAATTATTTTTAAAAATAATATTGCTTTATTCAATTATCAACATTTATTTCAAGCATCAACGAGTACTTAATTATAATTGCTTTTCACATAAATGGCACAATTATCGGTGGTCTGGTAATACTCATAAATTAATCATGGTAGAGTTACCCTACATTCTCCAGAGAGAATATAGTCATTGATCATTCCTCATATAGGATGAGATTCAATAAATTCTTATAAAGGAAATATTTTCAAATGTCCTACCAATTAAGAGATTTTTGGATAACCATAGAAAAAAACTCAAAATTACTTTTTCTACAATTATTTAACCTTATTAAAACATACTTCAACGACATTTAAAACAATTCACATGGACGATTTCACTTAAACATCTAAATGCTCTATTCATACTAGCGCAGAGTCGAAGCGAAGTGAATTCAAAGCAAATTCACCATTATCTCCGCAACATACATATATATTCCTTATGAGATACAACACTCGCAAATTCGCGCGCTGATTATTATAAGCTCAGATGAAATATGTGCATTACGTGGGAAGGATAAGGGTGAATTTACTATGTTATTGTTTCAGAAATTCGTTTCGATGCGCTTCTACTCTGCGCTTGTATGAAATGACCGTAACATTTCACAAAATCAACAATTAGTAAAAAATGAGTCAACTCAATTGCAAACTTACAAATCTAATAAAAAAGGTAACCATTATTTAGTATACCTACAGTGTTACCACATGAATTCAAATGCACGGTTTCTATGTTTGAGACTCCAAACCGTCGCTAAAGCCGGTGTCGTTAACGAACCTCCAGTGTCCTATACTTAACGATAAAAATCCGTGCTTAGACCCAGGTAGAAATCGTCTCGTTAACAAGCGCCCTTATACTGCGGAAGGCTTTGCTGTTTTTCCCACTAACTTCAGTCACTTGTATAAAAAATAATTATTCAAGTGACATTTAGGATCCAAACAATTTTTTTATTGAGTAATATAAAAATAAGTCGGGTTTTCCTTCCTGACGCTATAACTCCAGAACGCACGAACCGATTTCCACGGTTTTGCATTCGTTGGAAAGGTCTCGGGCTCCGTGAGGTTTATAGCAAAGAAAATTCAGGAAAAATTAAAAAAAAAATCGTTTTCGTTTAATCACAAAACGAAATGTTACATAAATCTGGTGGCGAAACGGAGTTCGCTGGGTTTGCTAGTTGAGTAATAAAAATAGGTTGAGCTACTTGAACAACTAAATACAATTAAATTTAATAACGGTGAAATAAAAAAATCAAATGATATTTAAAATTGATAGTCAAATCAATTAACAATAGAGGAACATTTAAATTTTTTTAAAATACCTTGTTAATTAGTTCACATAATGAGAATGATTCATAAATAATTGAAGCATCTGGAGAAATTCACTCTTGTGAACAAATGCTGTTAGTAGCAGAACTGGTATCACCAGTCTTGTTGCCGCTGCCTGAGTAAATATCCATTCTAAGTTTTTTGGGGTTTGGTTCACAGGAATTGTAACTGTCACTGAGGGTGCGCTTTCCCGTCGCAATCAGCTTTATCACAGTGACACTATTTTTATTCTCTTCATCAGATTTTTCTTCGACTGATTTTAGGGACAGCCGATCGAAATTTTTTATTTGTGCTGCATGACATAACATTTTTTCAACTCTAATTATAATGTCATCATCCTAAAATTAAAATGCAAGTATTTAGTGATTTGGGGCAAACTGTACTTCATGGGCCCAGGAGTTAATACTTGAGACTAGGTTAGGTTAGTGTTGTGTTTGTGATCGTAACAAGCAAGCTGGCAAAGTGGCAGAATAATACAGGACCTTTTCAACATAAAATTGTGAAGTATCAACACCTGGGTTCAGAAAGTACAGTTTTACATTTGCCTCTAATACAATAATATTCATTGTGAGTGAGAATAACTGGTGCAGCATGTTTCACTGGTGTGGTGGCCTTGCTAACTGCCCAAGCATCTATTCAATGCAATCTTTGGGGAGATAGAAGACCCTTCAAATCAAATCAGTAGTGCCCAGGTTTAAGAGGTGATTTAAATGACAGTCATAAGTGGAATTGTTTATACCTGCATCCATGGATGTTTAAGTATTTGATCAAGAGTGATTCGTCTCTCAACTTGTACAGTCAGCATTCTTTTCATCAGCCATTTGGCCTCCAAACTTATATCTTTCCAATGGGCTGGTGAATATCGAAATTGTCCCTTTAGAATTTGATCCCTCAATGTCATTTCTTTGTATTCATTTGAAAATGGCAAATAGCCCACTAAGCTAAAAGTATAAAAAAAAACATAATTTGTAATGAATACACTTACCTATAATTATTATAATCCATCCAAATAAATAAGACTACTGAACAATTAAATACACACCATATAAATAAAATGACACCTAAACTCCATACATCAACTTCATGGCCATAGAAGTTCTGTCCATTTGCTCTTACAACTTCAGGAGCTAAGTATAGTGGTGTCCCACACATGGTTTTCATGAAGCTGTCCTCACCAACAAATTTACTTAATCCAAAATCAGTTATTTTGACCAGTGCTTCATCATGTTTACTGTCCAATAGTACATTTTCAGGCTAAAATGTGATATACAGTGAAATGTATCAATTGAATTAAAAAAAAAATGCAGAATTAACTAAATACTCATAAAAGAGTAAACAAAACTTACAACTTTAGTTTCAAACGAAAAATTCAAAATAAAAATCAATGTTCAATTGATTGTTATAACAGAACTTTTATGTAAAAGATTTTATGTAGAAAACTAATACCTAAATTATTATTAAGACATTTCCAAAAACGAAAAAAACATCTAACTCACTTTAAGATCTCTGTGTGTGACGCCTTCTGAGTGTAGGTAAGTGACTGCTAGTACCATTTGTCTAAAAAAGAATCTGGTGAGACGTTCAGGCAAGCGTCCATGTTTAGTAATTCGATCAAAAAGTTCTCCTCCTTGCATTAGTTCTAGGATGATATAAACAGCTTCATGTGTATCAAATACTTCTTCAGTTGAAACTATACAAGGCTGTAAAATAAATAATTAGTAAACAAACAAGTGTTACATTGAATACTTTCTTGTTTCATAAGTTTACTTACATGTTTTAAAGCTTTCATGATATTAATTTCATTCATGATCTTTACTGGATCTGTCAAATGATTGATCTGCCCATTGGTTAATCTACTTTTCTTTATTATTTTCATTGCATGCTTGGTACATTTTTCCTAATTTAAAACAATAGATTAATAAATAGTAAAGGATATGAATGTTGTTATAGTTTTGTTGATAGTTTTAAAATATTTACTTTGTCATAAACTAATTTTACTATACCACAAGCCCCTTGTCCAAGAATTCTTGATATGTAGTATTTTTGTGAAATATGTGCAGGCACCTGGTTTTGTTCATTTTTCAATAAATCTTTAAATACAAAAACTGGAAAACAATAAATGTATTTTATAACTGTTGATTATACATAAGTGTTACATATCTTTTAATATAAATAAGGTAATAAACATACTCTTTACAAGCTCATGTGTAATGGCTATTACATCGTTGTCATCTAAAACTCGGCTGTTGCCTTTTCCAATCTTAACACCATTGACAAAAGTGCCATTATATGATAAATCTGTTATTATGGCTGGATTCAGTGTTTCTCTGTAATAGATGAGGCAAGAGATAAGACATTTTAAATGAAAATTCTATTTTATTAACTTATGAAGAACTTTTAACCGGATTATAATTATTTTAAAATTTTAAGTACTTACTGTAGATCTCTTTTGATGATAAATTGCTGCTTACTTACATTCCTAATTATGTTTTCTTTAATCATATTTTTATTGAGAACAAAAGAGCAGGTAAAAGCTCTCCCCAGGCTAAATTCCGGTTGAATCAAATCTGCAACAAGCAGTTAATATTTATGTCTAATGTAGAATGGGCCGATTGTGTGATTCTTAAATAAAAGTTATTTACCAAATAAGTTATTAAAGATGACAGTAATTTGCAACTTAGTTTTGCTCAATTCAATCATATCCTACTAATATTATAAATGTGAAAGTTTGTATGTTTGTTAATCAATCACGCAAAAACTACTGAATGGATTTGGGTTAAATTTTGTATGCATTTCCAAACTTGATTTTAACGCGGACGCGGCCGCTAGTGTTATAATATCAGAGAAATATATTTTATACAGGAGTTGAAAAGCAAGCCATATGAAGATTACTGATATCCTTTATAATTACCATGATATTCTTGATGATTTGGATTGCTCCATAAGTATCTGCCAGCTAAGTTTAATTTTGTAGAATACAGCCTCCCCCAGATTGTAGGTATGAAAGCCGGCGTATTATTTTGGCTCCACTCCAGTTGCGAGTTTTGCGTCTGTGTCTGAGTATTTTCAGAGTGAAGAAATTCATCTCCCATTTTCACGATTTTTATGGAGTACTTACTGAATTTTAAATGAAGGTAGTTTTTTGTCACAAAGAAGTTTGATTTGAAATGTTGAGTTGACAATCAGAATGGATTGATTGAAAACAAACTTTGTAAGAATTGAATAAGAACAGCAAATCAAAACTTAATTTCAACCCATAGTTTCTTAGTGTTTATGACAAAACACACTATATTTCCATTTGTATAAAAATTACTTCGTACTCCTCTCCATTACTATTTTGTGAGATAAAAGAAATTTTGAAAATTGTTCGAAACTAAACTAACTCAGAAGCACAGTTGTTATCAAAGCAAAGAGTATTTTAAGTATATGGGAAGTTATTATCGTTGAAGCAAAACGCATTCCATTTTCAGAGCAAAACGCGTCGAGCACCAGCACAGAGTAGGTACCTTACTTATTATAACCGGAAACGCACCAGTCTCCAAATTTAAACGGGCTTTAGGGTGCGGCCAGAGTGCACTCAGATTCAGATTCAGATTCTGAAAACAAGCGCGAGAAATAAACAGTGTAGTCTAAGCAGGTTGCCTGCTTTTTCTCGCGCTTTGTTTTCTGAGTCTGAATCTGAATCAGGAGTGCACTCTGGCCGTACCCTTCGACTACACTGTTTATTTCTCGCGCTTGTTTTCGGAATCTCAATCTGAATCTGAATCTGAGTGCACTCTGGCCGCACCCTTACACTACCCATTGGCGCGGTGTAATATTGCTACCATACCACCCTAGCTAGGGGCCATGCTTGTGTTGCCAGGTGTCCCGATTTGCACGGGACGGACGTCTCGATTTTCAGGGGTCTGATCGAGTCACGATTTGTTCCTGATTGGGACATTTACTCGATTATTAAAAAAAAAAATTAGGTAATCTTGCAGTAGTAGTTCAAAACGCAATAAATTAAACCCAGACTTTAAAACCCCTTGTTTTTTGTTTACTGTCCCAATCTGCAACCCTAAATCCAGATTTTTTTGACCTCATGTACCGATTTAAAACAAATCTGACCTGGCAACACTAGGCCATGCACACACTTTCGATCGCGCACTTAGAATTGGGTAGTGTGAAGCCCGTCACAGACGTAGCTATAATATATATTAATATATCGAAATATATATTATATTATAGCTAACTACCACAGACGGGAGCTATACTATAATATATATTTTGCCCTCACTCGGTCTGCGGTCGTTTTTGCAAGCGCACGGTTTTAAAGCTTATTTTCTAGCACAGGGTGTTTTAATTTTGAAATAACGTTATAATCGATCTTACCGAAATGAATTGGACAAGAGCACTACTTTTAGATTAAATTGAAAGTTCCTCAGAGGATGATTCCGATGCTGAATTTGATATGCATGTTGCCTTGTCAGGAACGAAAAATAGAAGTTGAACATTCCGTATTATACTAATATGCCAAAATATATCCCGTCACAGACGTAGCTATATATATTTATATATCGAGATATTATATTATACAAACTACCACAGACGGGAGCTGTACTATCTATACTTCTATACTAATATTAAAAAGCTGCAGAGTTTGTTTGTTTGTTTGAACGCGCTAATCTCTGGAACTACTGGTCCGATTTGAATGATTCTTTCAGTGTTGGGTATTCCATTTATCGAGGAAGGCTATAGGCTATATTTTTTTCTTTCAAAATTAGGGATCCGTAATAAAATAGCTATTCTGTAACACAAGGTGTAAAATCGAAAACCTATTTTTGCGTGCGCTGCAAAAACTATTGACAATAGAACAAAATGATGTACTACGGGTTTGTAGATCCCATTAAGACCTACAAAAAAGTCTGCGAGAATATATATCTAGCTATCATGGTTTAATCACAATAACCGATTTTGTGTTCAAAATAATTATTACATCGTCTGAAGAAACAAAACTACGTTAAATATGTATCGTAATATTAATATTTATCGAAATTAAGCATTATGTTATCAAGAGTATTTATGTAGACGTAAAATACTTTTTGTTTCATCTCAATCAGATATTTCGTTTAAAAGTTATCACGTGTGTAAGATGTTAAGAGTTGGTACCTATTAATGAGTTATGGGCCATAGAGTTTTTTATTAACATAAAATCCTGTAATAATCTTTTTCGAAATATATTTGTTGATGATTGTATGTATAAGATCTTTGAAGAGTATAATAAATACATTTCTAAAATAACTCTGCTAAGGAAATCCACGCGCGCTTGCTTGCATATTTTATCTCAGTATTTCCACGGAAACGAGAAAAACGCGGGTGAAACCGCGGGGCACGGCTATTATATATATTTTGGCAGGCGTTCGGTGAAAAATGAAACATACCGTATCATAAAAATATAGCAAAATATATATTAATATATCAAAATATATATTAATATACCAAAATATACACTAATATGCCAAAATATATCTGTCGACATATTTTGGTGACGTCATAGAAATATATATTATAGCTGCGTGTGCGGTCACTCGAAAATTTATATTGAAAATATGTTGTAATATGTCTTGCTATGATTCATATTAATATATATTATAGCTACGTCTGTGACGGGCTTAAAGCCCGTGTAATTGCTACCACTAGTGGCCACGCTCACCCTTTTCTATCGAAGAATTCGAGACGCCCACCCTCTTCGGCCCTTAAAATTGAGTGGTGTAAATGCCGTTGATGGCCTCCCTAGACGATCGAAAATGCTTGTTAAGCATTTACGTATTAGCGTTGCCAGACGGTTCCCGGTTCCCGTATTTCCCGGAATTTCCCTATTTCAGGCATAATTTTAAATGTCGCGGCGGGTCAGTTTTTGCCCGTATTTGAACATTTGTTAAAAGAAAGAAAAAAAATGTGTACAGTTTGTCTATAAAGTAGTGACATTAAATGATGGCGCCACTAGTATGCATATAGCAACCCTATACAGTCTGACCAAAATGAATTTGATACTAGTAGTTCATTCAAGTAAATTAGGTAATTAATAAGACACACTATACAGTCGTATTTTGTTTCTGTTTTATATATAGTAGGTACCTATGCTTATAAAAAGTTTAGCCAAGCATATTTAATTGAATTAGAATTATTATAGATAAACTAGTACTTTATAAGTGTAATGTTGATGATTACCGCTGAGGTGCCATTGAGACCAGAGCCGTTAGGTAATCATCAATACACACAAGTATCATCATACGACGTTTTTTAACACACTTGTTAAGAAAATAATACTAAAAATCATTTTATAGTATATAAAAAGTTTATTTTTAGAGAAACAATTTGTAAATGTGCAGTTAGTAAAATTAGTGATAGGTATCTTCACTAAAAGCATCTGGCCATGGTTCTTTATGTGACCATTTCTTTCTTTGGTCGGCCTTGCTTGTCTTCCCAGGAATTTCAAACTTTCCATCATTCTTAAAACCTTCGTTGATTATCCGACTCTCTCATTTTCCTGAAAAAAAAAGTAAAAAAATATGTAACGGAATAGAAACAATAACTTATTTAGTCCGGTCAATTTAGACAATTCAAATAACAAAAACTCCGACAGAGCCAAATATTGGTGGAGACCTTTGTTTTACCCTTATGAATAAAAATTTTAAAGTCCCCATCAATCCCATGCGAGCTTCAAAAGTTATGCGGGGCCAAAGGTCAAAATTTTAGGTTTTTTGACTTTTTCTCAAAAACGGTAAGTTTTATCAAAAAAATACCTTAAACTAAAATTGTAGATCTTAAATTGCTCTACAAAAATGGTTCTCATAATTTTTTCTCTAAGTATCACCGTTCCTGAGATATCGTGATTGTGAGTCACGTACTACGTAATATGAACACATTTGTTACATGTATGTCGTGGCCATATCGTAGATTTGCTCACTTCATGAAATGCTCGAGTATTTCATGAAATGGTCGCATTTCATGATGTGGCCAACTTAATTTGACCAGATCATTAAATCGTCAACGTTTAACGATTTTGTCATCCACATTTGGCCAGATCATATAATCAGGGTGACCATAAAATATTTAATAAAAATCCAGAATATGTTGAGAACTTGTTTATTGTCATTTGAGTCCGAATGACACAAACAAATTGAATAAAATTTTTGTAAGAAAATAAACAAATCAAAAAAATTTTTTTTTCTACATTCAACATCAACGTGTCATGTAGTTACACAAATGTAAATTTCATTAAAATTTAGAAAACTAACAAATATTTAGAAATAAAAAGGTACTTTGGTATATATTACAATAGTAGGCTAAACTGTACTTCCAGGGCCCAAGCGGTAATACTTCACACTAGGTTAGGTTAGGTTAGTGTTGTGACCATAACGCGCGAGCCGAGCGAGCAAAGCGAGCGTGCCGGTACAGTGGCCGGCGAAGCGCCAGAAAAAAAAACTATTAAAAGAAAGCTTCTACAAAAGAAATTCAAGTATCACCTCTTGGGCCCTGGAAGTACAGTTTTACAGTATATCTTTGTACGGCATTGATTCTCATCCGCACTTTGTACCTCAACCGCAGTTTCCAAAATGTCATATTTTGACAGCCAGTAATAGTCCATACATTTCTTTTGCGTAGTCACCCTACTCTCCTTAATTTGTTTCGTCGAAAACCCTTTTGTTAACTTTCTTCCTCATTAAATAACGAATTATGCACTTTTTCACTGCGAGAAACAACATTGTCGGCAGCGGCCGCCATATAAATATATAAACAAAGCGCTTGCAGCGCCTCTACCGGTAATTAATGTAACTACTTTACAATATGATCAAATAATTTTTGCCATTCCATGAAGTAGCCACGCGTTTAGTTGGCCATATCGTGAAACGATTTCTCATCATTGATCTGCCCAAACCACATCATGATGTGGCCAATAGATAGTGAAACATTTCATGAAATGGTCGCATTTCATGAAGTGATCAAATCTACGATATGGCCACGACATATACATATTCAGGTTCTGAAGCAAGCAAAAATACTTATTTGTGTCTCTTTTATGAATAAACTATATACTTTATTATGAATATACCATATTGAGAAAATATATATAGTTAAAGTCAGTCCCTTACAGAATCCCCTCTACACACATGGCCTTGAATAACATCTGGCTATTCTATTGTCCGTGGTATATGGTGTCGTTCTTATACCTGCTCCTTTTAGTGTTAAACGTTCTGTTCGAGTGAATATACGTATTTATTCCAAGCGTCTAATATTATAATTTGTGCTGATTAATATTTTTAAAAAATGTCTCACTTTTGCATTTTGCAATAAATTTATTGCAAAATTTTATTTGCAATAAACTTTTGACTGAAGGTGAAACTGTTCCGGTTAGTCTTGGAATGCCAACTTTAATCGATGCAAGTGTTAAGTGTTGAAATGATGAGTTTACTGAGTATTTAAGAAGTCAAAAGTCCGTTACAATACACGTGGATTGCAGAAAATCATACACCCGGAAAACTTCAATCTCTACAGCAAAAAGACAACGTGTGGATGAACAAGATAGTACTTCTAAAATAAGTCCACTTCGTACCAGAGCGCGAGTAAGTGAATCCAGCTTTTGTTTTAAAGAAAATTGCTTATTTTGTGGCGATGAAGCAGATGAAAAGGTTGAGAAAAAAAACCGCAGTATCTTCGAAAAAAAATTTGATTACAGTGTTCTCCAGCGTGTACCAATTGCCAAGGTCAGTCTTGCTCAAATGTACAATTGAATATAACAGAGGAAGATTCATGTGATTTTGATGAAGAAACAACTGATTTAACATTTGAACAATTTTTGAACATCCAGCAAGAGGAAGAAGAAAAAGAAGAAATCGAAGAAGACATGATTAATGGAGTCGACTATGAAGAGTATGAATCAGATTGAAATATGAAAAGAAATCAGAACGGCAATTAAATTCAATAACAAAAATCAATATTATTAATATATAAAAAATCAGACTTACTGTATATTATTAACATATACAAACCAATTATTATGGCACTACAAGAAACAGGCTCCAACCCAACACTAATTTTAATATTTCTAATTATTTTTGTTTAAGAGAAGATAGAAGTGATAGCTATGGTGGTGTTGCTTTATAAATAAGTGACACTGTTCCTTTCCAGCATATTCCAATTACTAACCATAGTACCTGTTGCGGAAGTGGATCGTAGAAAGGAAAGACCATCAGCTCGTAATATTTAGTTTATGTAGTCGCAATCACATTTTACTTTTTTATAGATACACACCGTTGACGTATTTGCTAAAGTCCTAAAATGAAGTAACGGTGACATAGAAAAATACCATCGGCTCGCGCTAACAAGAAGGTTTTACATAAAATCATAACTTCAACACACCTTGATTTTATAGAAAACAACAAAAAACAACTTAATACCAATATAACAACTTAACATAATAATTAAAGCACTTAACAAAAACAAAAGACTATCTGTCATTAACATTTCATTTGACATTTGCCAGTTCTCTAAGTTTTATAAATTTATTTTTCCCTAATGCCTTGGTCAATATATCCGCTAGTTGTTTTTCTGTATGAACCTTTACTATATTAATAACACGCTTTTTCTCGTAGTCATATACGAAGTGGTAGCTTATGTCATCCATCTCTCCATTATGGTTCGGTTAAATCTTTCAGCTACACCGTTCAACTCGTGTGTATACTTGGCCCTGGTTTTAAATAAATACCTTTTTGCTTTGTGTAAGTGTAGAAATCGTTGTTAAT